CCCAGCAGCCTCGAAAGTGGCGACAGTTTCACAGATCGCAGCCCCCCAGGGATGGCGAGGTCTAATCTGATCCCCGTAGGGCGTCACTCCGCTGGGCCCCCCAGCAGCCTCGAAAGTGGCGACAGTTTCACAGATCGCAGCCCCCCAGGGATGGCGAGGTCTAATCTGAATCCCCGTAGGGCGTCACTCCGCTGGGCCCCCCAGCAGCCCTCGAAAGTGGCGACAGTTTCACAGATCGCAGCCCCCCAGGAATGGCGAGGTCTAATCTGAATCCCCGTAGGGCGTCACTCCGCTGGGCCCCCCAGCAGCCCTCGAAAGTGGCGACAGTTTCACAGATCGCAGCCCCCCAGGGATGGCGAGGTCTAATCTGAATCCCCGTAGGGCGTCACTCCGCTGGGCCCCCCAGCAGCCTCGAAAGTGGCGACAGTTTCACAGATCGCAGCCCCCCAGGGATGGCGAGGTCTAATCTGAATCCCCGTAGGGCGTCACTCCGCTGGGCCCCCCAGCAGGCCTCGAAAGTGGCGACAGTTTCACAGATCGCAGCCCCCCAGGGATGGCGAGGTCTAATCTGAGTCCCCGTAGGGCGTCACTCCGCTGGCCACCCCAGCAGCCCTCGAAAGTGGCGACAGTTTCGCAGATCGCAGCCCCCCAGAGATGGCGAGGTCTAATCTAAGTCCCCGTGGGGCGTCACTCCGCTGGCCACCCCAGCAGCCTTCGAAAGTGGCGACAGTTTCACAGATCGCAGCCCCCCAGGGATGGCGAGGTCTAATCTGAGTCCCCGTAGGGCGTCACTCCGCTGGCCACCCCAGCAGCCCTCGAAAGTGGCGACAGTTTCACAGATCGCAGCCCCCCAAGGATGGCGAGGTCTAACCTGAGTCCCCGTAGGGCGTCACTCCGCTGGCCATCCCAGCAGCCCTCGAAAGCGGCGACAGTTTCGCAGATCGCAGCCCCCCAGGGATGGCGAGGTCTAATCTGAGTCCCCGCAGGGCGTCACTCCGCTGGCCGCCCCAGCAGTCCTCGAAAGTGGCAACAGTTTCACAGATCGCAGCCCCCCAGGGATGGCGAGGTCTAATCTGAGTCCCCGTGGGGCGTCACTCCGCTGGCCACCCCAGCAGCCCTCGAAAGTGACGACAGTCTCGCAGATCGCCGCCCCCCAGGGATGGCGAGGGGCAAGCTAGGTAAAAGGCAAGCGAGAAGAGGACGAGCAAAGAGAGGAGGAGGAGGCGGCGGGAAGGAAGGAAGGTGGAGACCGCAGTGCTCTATTCAAAACGAGTACCCAACGCAGGAGGGTTGGGAACAATCCGGAAACAAAAATCCTCCAAGACAGCTCAAGGTGGCCTCCAAGATGGCCACGTTGGCCCAAGATGGCCTCCAAGATAGTCCAAGATGGCCTCCAAGACGGCCCAGGAGAGGAGGAGATGCCTCCAAGTCCGCCCAAGAAACCTCCAAGACGGCCCAAGAGGTGCCCAAGGGGCCTCCAAGACGGCCCAAGAGGCCTCCGAGAGGTCCTCCAGGAGGGCCCGAAGAGGCTAAGTCATTGATTTCCTTAGGTTTTTGTTTAAAGTCTTTCGTGAGTGCTCCTTTTCGGCTTTCCGACGACCCAAGACGGCCCAAGAGGCCCCGAAGATCGCCCCCACATCGCCCAAGAGGCCTCCAAGATGAACTCAGGACTGTCCAAGAGGCTCCCAAGACGACCCCAAGAGGGCACAAAGACGACCCAAGAGGCCTCCAAGGCGCCGAAGATGGTCTCTAAGGCTGCCCTGGAGCATCCCGAAAGGGCCCCAAGTCGGCCCAGAGAGGCCCCTCAAACGGTTTCCGACGGCGTCAGACGGGCCAGGAGCCCACCAAGATGTCCGAAGTTGGCTCGAAGCTGGCCCAAGACGGCCCAATAGGCATCCAAGAGGGCCTCCAGGAAGGCCAGAAACGGCAAAAATCATGGATGTTCCTTCGGTGTTTGAAGGATTTTGATATTTGCTTCTTTTTGGCCTTCCGACGGCCCGAGACGGCCCAAGAGCCCCCAAAGATCACCCAAAGATCGCCCAAGCGGCCTACAAGATGGCCCCAGAACGGCCCCAGAGACCCCCAGGACGGCCCCAAGAGGCCCCCAAGACGGCCCAGGAGGCTTCCAATATGGCCTCCAAGACGGCCCTGGAGCATTCCAAGAGGGCCTCCAAATCGGCCCAGAGAGGCCCCCCAAACGGCTTCCGACGGCGTCGGACCGGCCAGGAGCCCACCAAAACGGCCGAAGAGCCCTAAGATGGCCCAGGACGGCCCAGGAGGCCTCCAAGAGGGCCTCCAGGAAGGCCCGAAAAGGCCCAAATCATTGATTTCCCATGAGTGTTTGAAGGATTGTGGCATTTACTTGTTTCCGTCTTCCGACTGCCCGAAACGGCCCAAGTGCCCCCAAAGATCGCCCAAGAGACCCAAGACGGCCCTAAGAGGCCCTCAAGACGTCCCAAGAGGCCTCCAAAACGCTCAAGATGGCCTCCCAGACGGCCCAAGAGCCCTCCAAGACGTCCTCCAAGAAGGCCCGAAAAGAGTCAAAATGGCATCCAGACGGCCAAGATGACCTCTTAGTAGTTGCCCACGTGTTCCCCGAAGGCTGTCCAAACCGATTCGGGGAACACATGGTCCGAATAGCTTGGCAGGTCTGGCCTCAACGTTCGGCCACACAGGCGCTTCCAAAAAGGCAGGGCGGGGCGGTGATTCGCCGTAGGCGTGTTCGATATATTGCAGCCGAAGCACAAACCTCTGTGCAACCATCAAGATGTCGGCCGAGCAAGCGTGAAACAAAATGACAGAAACGTGCAGCGTTCGTGAACATCGGTGCCAAAGCTGCATACCACTCCAGCACTGACGTAGGCGCGAAACACCCGGAGCACACGCACTTTCAAATCATCCTGGCGAAAAAACCCAACCATATGCAATTGTGACTAACGTAATCGTGAGTACATTCTTCGGTGGCGATCCCTATGGGGCCAGGAACCGTGCGATGGGTGTGCCGACATGTGTGGCGGGATACACAACACGAACGGAAACGATAGGCCTGATCACGGGGGACTGAGCGCGGGTGAGACTGAGCGCGAGCGCGTGTGATTGTGATTGAGTCTGCGTGCGAGTGAGTCTATGTGCATGAATGCGAGCATGGATACTCCTAGAATAAATGCGGATGACTGTGAATACTGGGCGTGGCGGGGGCCTAACGGGCCACGAAGCGTGTGAGGGGCGTATTGGGTGTGGCGGACGCATGCGGGCACCCCCACTGGGGCCGCAGGTGAAACTCCCTATGGGGCCACGAAACGCTGTACTAAGTGCGGCGGACGCATGCGGACAACCCCACTGGGGCCTTCGGTGGAGCTCCCTATGGAGCCACGATGCGGTGTACTGGGTGTGGCGGACGCATGTGGACACCCCCATTGGGGCCGTGGGTGGAGCTCCCTATGGGGCCACGAAGCGCTGTACTGGGTGTGGCGGACGCATGTGGCCACCCCCACTGGGGCCATAGGTGGAGCTCCATATAGGGGCCACGAAACGCTGTACTGAGCGTGGCGGACGCATGTGGTCAACCCAACAGGGGCCTTGAGTGGAGCTCCCTATGGGGCCACGAAGCGCTGTACTGGGTGTGGCGGACGCATGTGGCCACCCCCACTGGGGCCGTAGGTGGAGCTCCCTATGAGCCCACGAAGCGCTGTACTGGGTGAGCCTTGGGTGGAACTCCCTATGGGGCCACGAAGCGCTGCACTCGGTGTGGCAGACGCATATGGCCACCCCCAATGGGGCCTGGGGTGGAGCTCCCGATGGGGCCACGAACCGCTATACTGGGTCATGTGGCCACCCCCAGGGGGGCCGTGGGTGGGGCTCCCTTTGGGGCCATGAAATGCTGTACTGGGTGCGGCGGGCGCATGCGGACAACCCCACAGGGGCCTTACGTGGAGCTCCCTATGGAGCCACGATGCGGTGTTCTGGGTGTGGCGGACGCATGTGGCCACCCCCATTGGGGCCGTGGGTGGAGCTCCCGATGGGGCCACGCAGCGCTGTACTGGGTGTGGCGGACACATGTGGCCACCCCCACTGGGGCCATAGATGGATCTCCATATAGGGGCCACGGAACGCTGTACTGGGTGTGGCGGACGCATGTGGCCAACCCCACAGGGGCCTTACGTGGAGCTCCCTATGGAGCCACGATGCGGTGTACTGGGTGTGGCGGACGCATGTGGCCACCCCACTGGGGCCATAGGTGGATCTCCATATAGGGGCCACGGAACGCTGTACTGAGCGTGGCGTGCGCATGTGGCCATCCCCACGGTAGCCTTGAGTGGAGCTCCCTTTGGGGCCACGAAGCGCTGTACTGGGTGTGGCGGACGCATGTGGACACCCCCATTGGGGCCGTGGGTCGAGCTCCCGATGGGGCCACGCAGCGGTGTGGCGGACACATGTGGCCACCCCACTGGGGCCATAGGTGGATCTCCATATAGGGGCCACGGAACGCTGTACTGAGCGTGGCGTGCGCATGTGGCCATCCCCACAGTAGCCTTGAGTGGAGCTCCCTTTGGGGCCACGAAGCGCTGTACTGGGTGTGGCGGACGCATGTGGCCACCCCCACTGGGGTCTTGGGTGGAGCTCCGTATGGGGCCACGAAGCGCTGCACTGGGTGTGGCGGACGCATGTGGCCACCCCGACTGGGGCCTTCGGTGGAGCTTTCTATGGGGCTACGAAGCGCTGCGTTGGGTTGGTGAATCGCAGGGAGGAGGGAGGAGGGGGGAGGGGGAGGAGGGAGGAGGGACGAGGGAGGAAGGAGACGCGGGGACCGTCTCTTCAAAACGAGGACCAGACACCACAGGATGGCTGGGAAAAAGGAGGCAGGAGCCAATCACGAGATGTAGCCATCGTGCACCGAGAGAGGGATCCCAGAGAGGAGAAAGAGGGAAAGCGAGAGACAGTTCGGCCTCGGGCGGTGTCCGCCCCCGCGCCGCGCGGCAAGCAGCGCGTGCGCCCCGCGCTCACGGCTGGCGCTCGGCAAAAACACATCGGAGGTGCGCCGCAGGCTGAGGGCCTCTCTCCTCACTCCGACCGCCCCCGCCCAGCTTCCTCCCCCGCCCAACAATCCCGTCCCCATCCCACCTTGCCCGCGCTGCAACGCCTCCATTGACGACCCCGCCCTGCGGCGGCAGCACGGCTGATCGCTGGTCCTGCAACAAAGGGTGGAATCGGCCACTCAATCTGCCGAACAACAAGACCAGGCGACACACTGCAACAAACATATTGCATTCAGAACCGCTGGCGCTCGGAACCGTCAAAGTTCGCACGGGATGGCCATGCTTGTTGAGCACCCCTGTGTTGTGTCGCAACGCGCGTCGCAAATACCGCAGGTCCGCGACAAAGTGCAAGACGTGGCCCGCGGAGGAGGGAGAGGCAGCAATCAACGGACAATTGACATTGGTCATCTCGCCGTAGATTGACGGCACAAAAAGGCGTAACCGATGTCTGGCTATGATCTTTCATTGTGGTGACGGGCGTGATGCCGATAATGACGGCGATGCTGCTACTGCCCGCGAAATGTGTGGCCGCCTGGCCAAACCTGAGAGGACAGACAAGGGCAGGGAGCGAAGGATAAGGATCGGAGACACAGTGTGGGCAAGAAAGGCCGACTCAGACAGAAAGTACTTCTTCCGAGTTCGTGATATCATCCGGGCAGGCGGCCGCACAGTCGGACATGTAAGCATCGCGGGAAGATTGGTCCTCGCAGAACTCGCAGGATGACTGGCCTTCAATCAGCAGTAGCCCGCAGTCGTCGCACTGGCCGCAGGCCGTGATATCCTGCCTCTGGTTGCACGGCCTGCGGCTGAGCTCATTCCGCACCTTGTCCAAAGAATTCAATGCGCCGTGCAACCAGCAGCAGAAACCTCCAGGCACTGGAGCGTTCCACTGCATCATCAGGCCCGCCACCGTGCTTTGTTTACGTTGAGGCGTCGAAGAATGCCAAAGCTGTCTCGTAGTTTCTGCACTGAAATATGGTACTCTCCCCTACCCGCGTTCCCTACATGCATCGCCCTCCCTCCCGAGGCCACGACCCCTCATGAAAAGCAATGGCACCGCGCTCCCGAGGCCACCCTCCCGCGCTAAGAACGATGGATATACGTCACGGATTTCCAAGACGGCCCACGCAGGCAACCCAGGACATCAAGATAGCCCACGATGCCTTGAATACTGCCAAAGATGGCCAGGAGGCAGCCAAATGTATGACTTCAAGACGGCCCAGAATGCCTCCAACAAGATCCGAAGAGGCCAAAATCATTGACAACTTTTGGTGTCAGAACGGTTTTCGTATTATCGCATGTCCCGGCTTCTGTCAGCCCAAGACGGCCCAAGAAGCCTCTACGACGGCCCAAAGACGGTCCAGGCCTCCAAGCGGGTCTCAAGAGGAGCAGGAGAACGCCACGATGGAACAAAGGGCAACCAAGACGGCCACAAGACGGCCAAACCGGGCCTCCCGTGGGACCTGAGACGTCCCAGGAAAGCCCTTCGAAAGCCCAAGACGACGCAAAGATGACCTTACGACGGTCCCCAGACACCCAGTATACGGCCAAGAAGGCCCCCAGACTGCCCAAAAGAGCCCCAAGACGGCCCAAGAGGGCCTGAAGGGACCCCAAAGACTGCCTCAATGCAGGCAAAGACAGCCCCAAGATGGCCAACGCGAGTTCCATGAGAGCTCTTCAAGTGATGAAAAAGAAAGGTACCACATATGGCGGCATTCCTCCTTCTCCTCCTCCTCCTCCACCACCACCACCACCACCACCACCACCACCACCACCATCATCATCATCATCATCATCATCATCATCATCATCACCATCACCATCATCATCATCATCATCATCATCATCATCATCATCATCATCATCATCATCATCATCATCATCATCATCATCATCATCATCATCATCATCATCATCATCATCATCATCATCATCATCATCATCAGCATCAGCATCAGCGTCAGCATCAGCATCAGCATCAGCATCAACATCGGCATCAGCATCAGCATCAGCATCAGCATCAGCATCAGCATCAGCATCAGCATCAGCATCAGCATCAGCATCAGCATCAACATCAGCATCAGCATCAGCATCATCATCATCATCATCATCTTACTAGCCGGCCGCTCTGCGGTTGATCGGGAGTTTCTGTATATAGAAGAAGGTGCGTGCGCTTGTTGGCGAGGGTGAGGATGAGGTTCCTCCTCCTCCTCCTCCTCCTCCTCCTCCTCCTCCTCCTCCTCCTCCATCCTTCTCTTGCCTCCGTCTGTCCTCCTCCACCCCGCAGCTCCATCATCTTCTCCTCCTCCTCCTCCTCCTCCTCCTCCTCCTCCTCCTCCTCCTCCTCCTCCTCCTCCTCTCCTCATTCCTCCTCTGGGCACCTCCCCCGGGGCGCGGATCCACCGGATCTGTCCGGATCTGTCCGGAAACGGTGCCGGAGGCCGCTCTGGGCTCCTCTGGGCACCTCCCCCGGGGCCGGTTTTGTGAGGATGTCTCAAGCGAGGGCGCCGGTTTGGGATTCGTCGGCGGATCCACCGGATCTGTCCGGAAACGGTGCCGGAGGCCGCTCTGGGCTCCTCTGGGCACCTCCCCCGGGGCCGGTTTTGTGAGGATGTCTCAAGCGAGGGCGCCGGTTTGGGATTCGTCACCGGATCCAGCCTCCAGCGGATCCGTCCGGAAACGGTGCCGGAGGCCGCTCTGGGCTCCTCTGGGCACCTCCCCCGGGGCCCGTTTTGTGAGGATGTCTCAAGCGAGGGCGCCGGTTTGGGATTCGTCACCGGATCCAGCGGATCCACGGATCTGTCCGGAAACGGTGCCGGAGGCCGCTCTGGGCTCCTCTGGGCACCTCCCCCGGGGCCGGTTTTGTGAGGATGTCTCAAGCGAGGGCGCCGGTTTGGGATTCGTCGGCGGATCCAGCGGATCCACCGGATCTGTCCGGAAACGGTGCCGGAGGCCGCTCTGGGCTCCTCTGGGCACCTCCCCCGGGGCCGGTTTTGTGAGGATGTCTCAAGCGAGGGCGCCGGTTTGGGATTCGTCACCGGATCCACCGGATCTGTCCGGAAACGGTGCCGGAGGCCGCTCTGGGCTCCTCTGGGCACCTCCCCCGGGGCCGGTTTTGTGAGGATGTCTCAAGCGAGGGCGCCGGTTTGGGATTCGTCACCGGATCCACCGGATCTGTCCGGAAACGGTGCCGGAGGCCGCTCTGGGCTCCTCTGGGCACCTCCCCCGGGGCCGGTTTTGTGAGGATGTCTCAAGCGAGGGCGCCGGTTTGGGATTCGTCACCGGATCCACCGGATCTGTCCGGAAACGGTGCCGGAGGCCGCTCTGGGCTCCTCTGGGCACCTCCCCCGGGGCCGGTTTTGTGAGGATGTCTCAAGCGAGGGCGCCGGTTTGGGATTCGTCACCGGATCCACCGGATCTGTCCGGAAACGGTGCCGGAGGCCGCTCTGGGCTCCTCTGGGCACCTCCCCCGGGGCCGGTTTTGTGAGGATGTCTCAAGCGAGGGCGCCGGTTTGGGATTCGTCACCGGATCCAGCGGATCCAGCGGATCCACCGGATCTGTCCGGAAACGGTGCCGGAGGCCGCTCTGGGCTCCTCTGGGCACCTCCCCCGGGGCCGGTTTTGTGAGGATGTCTCAAGCGAGGGCGCCGGTTTGGGATTCGTCACCGGATCCAGCCGGATCTGTCCGGAAACGGTGCCGGAGGCCGCTCTGGGCTCCTCTGGGCACCTCCCCCGGGGCCGGTTTTGTGAGGATGTCTCAAGCGAGGGCGCCGGTTTGGGATTCGTCACCGGATCCAGCGGATCCACGGATCTGTCCGGAAACGGTGCCGGAGGCCGCTCTGGGCTCCTCTGGGCACCTCCCCCGGGGCCGGTTTTGTGAGGATGTCTCAAGCGAGGGCGCCGGTTCCCAGGGGCCGCCAGGATCTTAATTTAAGAACGTGGTGTTCGTTCTTATTTTGTTTTAGCATAACATGTTAATTTCGAAGGTTTTCGCCATATTCGATCGTTTCCATGCGCTGTAGCTATCGAGTACTGCGCGCGACGCCGTCCAACGCTCAGCGCGAAGATCTCGCGAATTCCTCAGGGGCCAGAGGGCGTGCCAACATTTCTCAGGCAGCCAAGGAGATAGCTGCCCGACGCGCGCAATGATCTGCAGGGCAAGCCTTCATGGCCGCTTGTTTGGGCCAGCTGGGGCCACCCGATTGGCCCCTCATGAATTCTGAAGAAACGAAATCCTCGCATTGAACGTGGAACGGCGCCGCGCGCAACAATCGGTATATAGAGACCTAGTGAAGATGCCCAAACACTTCACAACAATCCAATTATGGGCCCCATCCATCCATCGGATCGGAGGCGCCGCAGAAGGAGGAGGGGGAGGGGAAGGAGGGGGGGAGGATGACGAGGAGGAGGAGGAGGAGGAGGAGGAGGAGGAGGAGGACCAGTGTCACCAACGATGCTGAAAATACCCCCACTTCAAATTCCCTCTCCCACATGCCCCTACAACGGTTCATTTCCATTGAGGGAGCTGCTTCTTCGGACGACAACTGTCTGAAGACCCTGAAACATGCCAGAACCTTTGTCTTCGGGGTTGCAACGTCACGGGTCAACCTGACTGCTGCGTCTTGGCAATTCTGAATCGTGCCAGGCGTTTTCGATCATCACGGTGCGTTCTTCCACTCCCCCACCATCGCATCCACGCTGCCCTCATGAATATTTCAAAGGCGCTGCAACGGAGCGGGATCATGCAAAGGCGCTGCACTCCACTTCCGAGCTGCACAGGCGCGGGCAAAGGCTTGCGAGTGACGTGCGTTGGCGTGTGACGTGCGTCGGAAATTCATCGCGTGCGTGCGTGCGACGTGCGTTGGCGGGCTGACAGTTACAACTATATGATGCAATATCGTGCGTGCACGGTGCGTCGTCTAGCACGTCTGAGCTATGAGCGCTGCCATAGCGTCGCAAAAAGCAGGGGGGTACTCTTTGGATGTGGCCTAGTCTTTGGTCTTGTTGACCCAAGCTCCATGCTTCCACCCCGTGCATACATCCTTGTCGGAATTAACGCGTTTGGACGAGCGTGGGCCCAACTTCGCTAGAGGGGCATGCGAGCCTGAAGCAGCGAGGGAACGGGAAGCATCTCTCTTGGACGCACCTATGCACACGCGAGCAGCCGACAACGAGTGCGTCGTAAAAATCGCGAGTGGCTTCAAACTGCCCCAGCCGAAATACGCGAGGTAGGTTGTCAGCTTGCCCGCGCTAATGAGGTTCAGGCTTGCCTGCCAGGAGCGGCGGCTTCGATGGGGGCGGGCAGGATGGGAGAACGGGCTGAGGTGGGGCGCAGAAGGAACGGGCGGAGAGGGGTAGGGAGAGAGATTGGGGGAGAGAGCAATAGGGAGAAAGAAACAGCGAGAGAGAACGAGGGAGATGGGGAACCGACATTGCCAGAAGGGCAGAGTACAACATCACGGGGGCACCAGGGGCGGGCGGGGCGCCGATGCTTGAAAGGGGGCGACGCGAAACATTGCAGCATTTCCCAGCCATGATACCGATGGGGGACACATGCACATGCGTCCCCCATCGGTATCGCGCTGATCGTCGGGCCACTTGGCGCAGTCACGGCGCCCGCGGCAAGCTCTCGGCCAGGCGCGGCTGAAGGTGAAATCTCACCGGCCCTCTGGGCGTAGGTGGTTTAGGGTGCTTCCTCTTCCACCCCTCCTTCTTCCCCTTCGGGGGGGGGGGGGGCCCTCCCCCTGCCCCCGCGCCCTTATACCTGGGCGCTGTTACTAGGGTGGTGGCCACATTTTGGCTCCATTTGGGCATCCGGTTTGACCTCCTTGGTTTTGGCCCCAGGTTTGATCGATCTCCTCCAAAATGGCCAAGCAGCGACCGGGAGGCACCCGTGCAGAGATCCCGAGATGGC